CCCCCCCCCCCCATTTTTCAGAGTGGTGTGCCTTGGTGGGACACAAGGTTTTCATAACAGTTGCTCATGCCAGTCCCCTGCTGTTTATGAACTATGTGTAGAGCTGATGTACCCGCCCTCTGCTCTCCTTTTGCTTAACTTCAGCAATAGTCTCTGTTCTATATAGTGCTGAATCTTAGCTTTTTTTGGGGTAGGAGGGGAATGAGAAGTTGATGTTTTGCAGCACAGTGATAAGGAGAATCGAGATAAAATCTCAGCAGATCTTTGCATTTATTCAGTTGTCTCCCAGCAATTTTTGCTCACAACATGGATTTTGATCTTCCCGTGGCCTGTATTTGTTCCAGATGCCCAAACAATAACAGAGAGATTTTCTGGCCTAACCCAGTTTCTTTTTCCATCTGCTGTTTGGGAGACTTATGAAGAACCTTTTCCAATTGGTGCATAGGGTAGCCGTGTTTATCTGTTGGAACTAAAAACCACCACCAAGAAAGAGCAAAATTGTTGTAACATGAACCTGGGTTGGCTGTACAGTACACTTCATTAGATGCATGCAGTTTTATTCAAAAATTTTCATATACATACATAAACATGCATCGTTAGCAACAGTTTTGTCAGTGGCCATGTATGAAAACTGCTGGTCTTGAAGATGCCACAGGATTCTTGGTTACTAAAGGATTTTGTAGCTGTAACTGGAATTCCACTGAGATACCAGTTAAATTCCAAGATGCATTTGCTTGCTGAAGTTCACAGAACACTACAGGCCATATCAGAAAGATTTTGCAGTTGCTCATCTTACTAGAAACCAAAACAACTCTTGCAGTCATTTTAAGAAAGATTGTAAGATTTGGCAGGATCCTCTCCCTACTGAAGAAAGAAGACATGAATATGCCATCCATACATGCATTTTCTTTTTAAAAAATGGAATTTTAAAGCTATTAAACGCACCAAAACCCCAAGGTTCCTCTTGGAACACAGTAGGGCTTGGAAAGCTTGGATTGTTACTGCAACCAGCTACTTACCACCACCATCACATACCATCAAGTCAAGGTGTACTGATCAAAGGCCTTATTTCATAGCAAGCATAAAGCACAGAAAAAAAGGAACCTTACTTTTGCTTGATCTTTCATTGTTTCCTCCTGTTTCTGGAATAACTGAGAGGTCAGATATGATTCCATTCTGAGCCAATAGGCTGTGTGGTCTGGTGTTCCACCCAGGAAAAGAATTCTTGGCTTCTTGGTAAGAGCTGAGCAAAAAGCTGGCAGCACCGCATGAGCAATGCTGTAGAAAATACTCCTAGATCAGGTGAAAAAGGAGATATGCTTATGGCTAATTTTCAGCTAGGCAGAGTATTTAACCCGAAGAGAATGTGAGATACCACAAACAAATTGCTGGCATTCCAAGAGAGGGGTGTGTGAGAGCTTCATCTCCAAGCCTTAATAAGGTCAAAATAAGTATGCCTAGTATTATCCAGGGGTCTCATATTCTGAATGCGAAATCTTCTGAAAATGTATTTCTACTGCCATACATGTGACTAATATTATCTTGTAAAGATACAGGCATTCTCAAGATATTTGAATACTGACCCCCAATATCATATATATATATGAACCCTATAAAATTAACCATTTCAAAGAAGATGAATATGCCCTAAGCTTCTTCTGAACCATGATGGCATCTGAGACTTTAGGCTAAAAGGAGAGACAAACTCTTTGTGTACATGCAAAAGTCTGTTTTATATTTTTTAGTTGCAGAAGAGTTTGGGAGAATTGATGCTCAACTACTAATATATCTAGGCATTACAAGCTGGACATACTCATATACCAAACTAGATAATTGTGAACTTCACTGTCATCTCTATATTGATCAATAGAATGCTATTTTCTCTGTAGAACATACCATATAGAATATTGCCAAATATTGTTAGTGGATTGAAGTGATCAAGTAAAAAATCCATTCCAAGGGTTAAGGCATCTGTGATTCATATACAAAACTAATCCTATACTGTACCTCCCATCATGGCATTTAACTTGACAGAAAGTCCCTGGTGTGTGCTTAACAAATCAGCCACTTTATCATATGCAAGCATGCAGCTCCTGCTAAGGGTGTATAGCAGAATAATTGCTGCTGAGTGAATGGATTTCCATATATTTTCAGAGGCTACATGTTTAAAGATGGGTATCATTAAATGAAGTACATTTTGTTTTTACCAAAAAGAAAGAAAAAAAGGACTAGAGCCTTATTTAGGCTTCATAGTCTTTTTACAGGTAATTTTTTAAAAAACAGTGGATCAACTTTGAGATTGGGTATGTAAGCCTCTGTGATGTAAAATCTTTCAGGTGACTCATTTTACCTCATTGTCCTAGGTTAAAGAACAATAAAATCAACCACTTTGTCTAGTGGAAGAAATGGACCCAAGTAATAACATTGTTCTCAAGCTGGGATATTCTCTAAGAGTGATGATGTCTAAGAAAAGCAATGGGATAAGGCACCACTGAGGTCAGAGAGAACACTGCATTAAGATAATAAATTATTGGTATTATATCCTGATCAGTTTGAACTTTATGAATGCCTAGTAAGAGGGTGTGTGGATGTTGGTGCATACAGTTGTATGTGGCAGTACTGCCTGAGAATAGAGCATTTCTGGTCACAAGTACAGTATTTACCAGGACTGAGAGTGTAAATGCATTAAATATTTGTGCTTACACCAGTGGTGGGCCTTCAATAGTTGTTTATGGACAGCAATCTTTTGTACTGTATAAGGACTTGAACACATTGTTGCTAACTGGAAAAGTGCAGTGGATCTGTACCTTTCCTTCTCAAAGAGCAAAGTTAAAAAACTTGCTTTTATGGAAAAATTAATTACACAATGCAAGACAAGGAAGAAAACAATGTGTGTGCATGTACATGTGTATGATATTCTTTTATTCAACATTCAAATGAGTTTGTTTGTGTCATGATTTCCTAACCACCTTTATAGATCTATTAATAAAAGATGCCTATTAAACTTCTTTACTTTCTCAGTATCCATTGATAATACAGCTATGAGTTGAGAGACTCCACTTGTAGACAAACATGATGCCATATTGGTATTTATCTAAGATAGTGGTTCTCAGTCTTCAGTCCCAAGATACTCTTGGACTAAAACTTTTAGAAGCCTTCATCGCTAGCTGTGATGGACAGGATTTCTGGGAGTTTTAGTCCAAGAACATCTGGGGATCCAAGGTGGGGAACCACTGGTCTAAGATATGCTGATTCTTCGACATTTAAAAAAAATGATTTAAATAAATCCAGTTTACCTCTTTGAGCTGGTTTGTTTTCTGCTCTTTTTGTAAACTGCAGATTTCCTTCTGTAATTTCAGATTTTGTTCTTGTAGCTGCCCAATTTTTTCAATAAGTTGGCAGATATGCTCTAGATAACCTAGGCCGGAACTGTAGGTTTTGGTATTCCCCTCATTCACCTATAATTGAAATAAAGTACAATATTGGATATTTTTGGTGAAAACAGAAAACATTGTTTCTAGGAAATATTATAACTAATATTGACACTATAATGGCCATTGTAAGGCAATGCTCTTCAAGAGGTCAGTCAGGACAGACTGGTAAGTTTCAGTCAGTCCAAAGTCAATCCAGTAAAACTAAATATGCAGCAAACCAGACAGATGAGAACTATCAACAGCCTAGTTGAGATTACAAAACAGATAATTCAACAAGCTGAGTGTGAGGGAGCCAAACTGGCCTAGGAATTTGTGTGCTTGCCTATATGACTCAAGAATCTTGGGTTCATTCTTTTCTGGAGGAAAGGCAAGTTATCAGTTCAACTAGCAAATAAATAAATATTGGCCCAGGATCAAATGTCAATGGAACAAACTCTGCAAGGATTCAGGTTTTTCATCAAGAATGTAGAGAAATAAGGATCAATAGGAATTGGAGATATTGCCTTGAGCAATTCCTCTAAGCCTCTAACAAAGCACTTTTATGCAAGAGCTGCCAGCCCCAGCAACTCCCAAAAGCAGAAGCACAAAAGCTGCTAAATGTCTACCTCACAAGGAGTCCCCTACACTGAAGGAGACCTTTTCTGCAGCTAAACGCTCCTGTTCTTCCTCTTTCATTGCTGGTGTTCTCTGGAGCTTACTGGGGGGCAAAGTCTGTAACAAGCAGGGCCAGGAGCCATTTGATCCTGGCCTCACATTCATGAAGGGTCTCCAATTTAGAACATACCACTGTTTTTGCTATTTCTTCATTGAATATATATATATGCCCAGGCTTTCTGTCAGCCCTCAGCCTGCAAACAATTCCAGATAAAGGTTGTCTGCTGTTTGCTCCAAGTCTTCATCTGATGAGGACTCCTCCAGTTTGGGGCATGACATAGTCTGATTGTGACCCAGCACTATCAAGTCAAACAGTTAAGACTAGTTAAGATTTTTTAAGAGATTGGAACTGCTCGAATTGATAAAGCACGTGCAAAAAACCCTTGTCCATGGAGGGCAAGAGTCACGACATGCGCATAATAGTTACACTGGTTCCACTATCAAGTCAAACAGTTAAGACTAGTTGAGATTTTTTAAGAGATAGGAACTGCTTGAATTGATAAAGCATGTCCAAAAAACCCTTGTCCATGGAGGCCAAGAGTCATGACATACGCATAATAGTTACACTGTTTCTACAGTACACTAAAAGAAGAGCGGCAACTCAAGCTTAGTACATTCTCCCCTCTATTCTCTGTACTGTCTACTGCATTTCAGGAACTGAACATGTGCCCAGTTGCCTTGGTGGTCAAACTAGACAAGACATGTTGCATATATTTGGAAGTATTGGTCCTCAAGTGGTCAAGGAGTCTGTACTTTCATTTCTCTCTGCTTTGTTTTGTGATCGGTACTTAAAAGCGAAACACATGCTTAATTAGCAAGTCTGATTCCTGAGGCATGAGAATCTGCCACTAAAGAGAAAATGTGTTAATTGCAGACAACATGCCCTTCTCTTAATGCTCTGCTTTGTTTTGTGATCGGTACTTAAAAGTGAAACACATGCTTAATTTGCAAGTCTGATTTCTGAGGCATGTGAATCTGTCACTAAAGAGAAAATGTGTTAATCGCAGACAACATGCCCTTCTCTTAATGCTCCAGTCACCCTAGCTCTAGATTATAATTAACATCATTGCCTCTGTCCACACAAGAAATTAAATACATTACACAAGTGAAAGTTGGAGGAGTGGGATTATTTTTGTCCTCAGTTCCATACTTTTGCAGAGAGTCATTCTGCATAAAACTAATATTTATGTAACAGAGTTCCTAACAGGCAACTCAAGGACCAAGCAAGAGACTGCCTCCCCCCACGTTTTCAGGCTGGGGCACCACTCAGAGGGTTCACAAGCTGCTATTGCTGGTCATGCACGCAGATATTTTCAACATGTAACTTACATATCAGTTGTGTGCAAAAGAGCTAGTGAAAGAAGAACCATGGAAGAGAGGGTTGGACCTCATGCAAAAATCCTAATTTCCATCCTAACAGGCAACTCAAGGACCAAGCAAGACCCTGCCTTCCCCCACTTTTTCAGGCTCGGGCACCACTCAGGTATGGTTCACAAGATGCCATTGCTGACCATGCACACAGATATTTTCCACATGTAACTTACATATCAGTTGTGTGAAAGAAGAACCATGGAAGAGAGGGTCGGGCCTCATGCAAAAATCCTAATTTCCAGCCCTCATTATGTACAGTTGACCACCAACAATTGATGGTGAATATTACGATTATACTGTATGTAAGGTGTGGATTCTGATCCTGTCTGAATATGTTGCACATGCTTTCTCTTGATTCACTTAACACTTCTTTCTTCTGAGTAAATACGGATTTTTGTATTGTGCTGGTTTTCATTGTTATATCTGCATTGGCTTATAAACCAGCGGTTTGAAGATGCTTCGTGGCCAACATTGAAAGGATTCAATTTTAGATTCTCTCAGAACTTGCTGCTGTGCTCCAAATATTTCTTGTCTTTGAGGATATCATCATCATCTCATGCCGCACATGTAGTTTTGTGCATGTGCTCTCTGTGGCTCTTTCTGCAATGAGTTATGGAGGTTTACTTCTGTTGTCATAAATATTTTGTGTACCACTTGTATAATAAAAAGATGTGCAGGATCAAGCAGTTAGTATCACTAAATTGGGCTGAAAGTTGGGCTGTATGTAGCAATTTTTCTGATGTGGTGTTTCATACTTTACATTTTTACTTATTATTTGTCCATTTATTTAGTTAATGTCTGTGCCACTTTTTAAGGACATTAGCCGGTTTGACATCAAAATCCAAAATCCACATGTGGCCAAATGCCCTTATAAGATCAATTAGAATTTCACAAAGTATTCAAGTTTTCACGTTGTCCAGGACTCTTAATGAGACTAGATAGCTGAAAACTGTGGAGGGGGGAAAAGGCCATGGACCAGCCCTGATGGTGAAAATGGGCTCTCGCCTCCTTGAGATCTGAGGGTGAGATTCCTTAGCCACAGTTCACCTGTGGACTGGGGCATTGGTGGCCGAGACACAGACAACGTACTCAAGGCCATAAATGTAGCAATGGCTAGGATGGAAATTAAGAAGGAGAGTGAGGTAGGAGAGGAAGAGGGCTGCTGGACCAATGTTGCGGACTGGGAGGCATTCAAGGCCCAGGAGGTACTGTTGTTACTGAAGCCCTCCATGGCCAGCTGGGAGACCATCTGCAGCCATGATCCCAACACTGGACACTGGGAGGAGCTTTCGGTGCCACCCAAAGAGGCTTGAGAACTAGAGACAGGTATGTCACCAGCAAAGGAAACAGCAGGGGCAAGCTGCCTCGCAGCAGGTACCTCCTGGCCAGCCTACACACAACTAGTTGGGTGACGCTTCTCCTGTACCTCCTCCTTCTGCATCATGCTACACGGGAGAGCGTAGCCAGGTCCAGGTAGAGTTCAGCCATGCCTCTTGAGAGGATTGACACATCTATGGGTGGCTGCTGCTATTGGGGGACTTTGGAGGCATAGCAGGAGAAGGAGCTCGCACTACACTCCTCCAAGGACAGTTGACTGCCTGCATAGGACTGTTGTGGCACTCTATGCCTGGCTCATCTGAAAGGTGTCCTTAACCTGGTGGAAGAGACGGGGTTCCGATCCTCCCAGTGAAAGACTGGCAAGGGGTTTATTTTTGTCCAAAGACTTTGGAAGTGAAGTCAACTCCTTGCCACCCTAAGATTGTTTTGTTTGGCCCTGTTGATCCTTTGAGGAATTCTGCTGCTCTAATAAAGAGCCTGTTCCTGCAAGTACTTGTCGCATCATTCTGGAGGAGATGAAAATAGTTTGCATATTTTATAAATTTAGAATTCGTTCTCATAAGTATTGTCCATCTGTGGATTTTGGATTTCATTTTATCCCTACGGGTCTATGGCCTCTTTCTTTTTTAGAATTATTTTGATATTGTACTGAATACACTGTGTTAAGTAAAGCTTGCTGTAGCATCATTTTGCAGCGGTGAATACAGTAACACCATTTTCACATCTTTAGGGAAATTATTTTAGAAAAGTCTTGACTTCAGTACTAGCCATCACAGTATGGGGCACTGAGCCTCCCCACTAGTGGAGAGATGGCTGACAGCTTCCTTCCTTAGGCTGGACATGTATAGAGTGCTCGTCTCTCCCCTCCACCCAAAAAGTGCCTCTTCTACAGAGAATAGACAGACACGTGCCAGTAGAACCATTTCCCCTTTCCGCAGAGGATTCTGGCTTGCACTCACATTCCTTACCTTACTCAGCCTACAACATGCATCCATGTATTCATCTAAGCTGTCACTTGTGGAATGCTTTCTTAAAGGATGCCCTTGCAGTGGCAGTTCTTCCAAGCTGTTGTTTCTGTAATTGTCACGGAGGCTTTTCTCTTCTACAGGCAAAGTAGAAAAGCAAGAAGGATGGATCTCTTCTTCACTGATTTTGTCCTGTGAACATTCTCCTTGGCTGCCACCAAAAAAAGATTGTTCAGAATGTTTTGCCTCTCGACAATCTGTGTCCTCATCTAAGGAAAGGGCGGACATCTGTAATGCACCAAAGTGCCCCGTGCAGAGCTCCGCTGGCTCCTTGCAATCTGAAACGTAGTGACGTGCTTCTACAGGGTCTTTGCCCATTTTTATATGGTCAGCTGCTGGAGAGGATGAGGCACTCAGAACTCCAGAGTCACAAGAAGAATCTCTGCTGTGGAGAACAAAGTTCTTTCCAGAGCCCAGGAGTGTAGATGGCAAGTTGGCTCCTTCTGGCAACACCACGGCAGAGTCTTCTGATTCATATTTGTCTAATCTTGGAACCTGATCTTTCAGTGCTATTGTGGGCATGCCAGAGCATGTGGCAAAGTGTTCAGTTTCTTCTGGAGTTTGTGGTGTAGCCTGAATATCTAACAGGGTGCTAGATTCAGAAGGTCCAGGTTTTGCTGGAGACTCCGAAGTGGTGGGAGGACATTGCCCTAGTCCTTCACTTTTTTCATTGCTTATTACCTTCATGTTTGTCAAAACCACTTTGCTGTCAGAGGTGTTCTTCCCTATAGAACGAGAAAAGAAATAAAAGCAGAGTCAGGGAGAATTGCAATCCATCATCTCTTTAACCTGCTTTATATGGCAGCTACATAGTGTTCCGGTTCGACAGGGTGTGTAACAAGGCTTGTACCCTGTTCAGCCTTCTCCACTTTGTAAAAAGCCCTAAAACGCTGTACTGCAGCTAAAACTGTGCTCACGACCTGGGGTTCAAATCCCAGGTAGCCGGCTCAAGGTTGACTCAGCCTTCCATCCTTCCGAGGTCGGTAAAATGAGTACCCAGCTTGCTGGGGGGGCAATGTGTAGCCTGTATAATTAAAATTGTAAACCGCCCGGAGAGTGCTTGTAGCGCTGTGGGGCGGTATATAAGTCCAATAAATAAATAAATAAATAAATACTGAGTAACCTCTGGGTAGTTTGGGCGGCATATAAATTGAATGAATAAATAAATAAATAAATAAATAAAATATCTCTGTGCAAACTGGCTGTAAATATTCAAAGAGAAATGGAATTTACTTGACACAGGCTGGCAGCCTCCTCCTCTGCCAACCCAGAGGAAAAACAGACCCAATGAATGCACCAAAAAACAACTCCCCCTCCAAAAAAACCACATTCATTTATTTGTTTTGTTTATGTTCAGCAAAGGTAGATAATTATTACATTATTATGCATCTTGGCTGTGGCTGCTGAAGGCAGTAAGTGAGGTTAGCAGCAGTGGTAGGTCAAGTGGGAGCCAGCAGTAGGTAAAGCCAAGACTTTCTGAGTTTGTCCCATCCTCTGTCACCATGACAACAACACTTAAGTAGATGGTGAATTACAGTACTTGTGAGCTGAGAATAAAACGAAGACATATGACTGCATTAGTATTTGAGGAAGCTGTGGACACTGGAGGGAGGAATCAGAGATCCTCCTGACTCCTTGGCCCAGCGCGATCTGCAGATGCAATTGTACTCTGAAGATTTCTGGATGAGAAATCAGGGTCAGTGTGGATTCATAATCAGCTTCCTCACTTGTCATGGAAGCAGGTCTATCCTTGGTTAGTTTCACAGGCTTTGTGGGTCAGAGGTGGGCTGCCTCTGTGGGTCCCCTGAAATCAGATGTCACTAATTGCAGAACACAGCCTGCAAAGGGAAGGAGCTTATCTTCATCAATGACAGTTCTCATTTATTATTTGAAGACTTGGTCTGGAATGAAGTGGGCCACATGGATCAATCCCACGAAGGGCTGGCTTATCATACATTCGGTGAGGTGGCCAGAGTTGAAAAACCACCCAAATCTTGTACAGTAGTGCTCAGTGAAAAAGGGGAGTGTCAAGAGCTGCTACCTGGCAGGTTGGGTGACTCCTTCAGGGAACATCCCCCAACCTAACAGACCATGAGCATCTGTGACCTATGTGATTAATTTTACACTTAATATAGGTTGTTGTAAAATAGTTCCATTGAGGCACTACATTCTTGATTGATACAAACATTTGCTTTTGTTTATTATGATGGTGTTTTTATATATATATACTGTATCCACGAGAAGGTATTATTTATCTTGCTCATTATGTTGTATATTTTAGTAGAATATTCATGTAATAAAAAACAGGGAATGAACATCTACACTTTGAGTGTTTAGTGTTGGTTGTTCCCACATTGCGATAAATGCTAGTTGTTGCTGCATTAAGATATGGATCCAAAGCAGAACTGGGAAAAGTCACACATTTGCCTGGCCACTGACCCGAAAGGCCGGGGGTTTCTAGAAATTGTAGTCCAGTAAATTTCCCATGCTCTGCTATTACATCAACAGGATCACCTGTCACCTGTCCTGGCACAGGCAAATTCATAGGATGATTAAACAGGTTACTCAACAAACAGAACTTGGGAAAACCTGGTTATATATTTTTTTTCCTTCAGGCCAGGGCCCCATGTTACTGGTCTTGGGGAAAACTGAATTTTCTGTCCTTAACAATCATACAGCTATTGGTTTTGCTGACAGAGACAGATTTATCACATGCCCTGGATTCACTGTTAAATACAACAGGCGTTTAAAACAAAAGTTTCACTGTGGAAACAATCTTGCTGTGGCTGCAATAATGCTCCTTCATTAGTCTCTCTCATCCAGAATAATAGATAAAGTTATATTTTTATTAGTTGTAATAAGACAATGATACCCAGTGTGGTGTAGTGGATAGAAATGATGACTAGGACTCAGGAGGCTTGGGACTGAATCACCATTCAGCTATGAATACTTGCTGGAGGATGGAACCGTGAAACCGCTCCTCTAATATCTCTCTTACTTTCAAAGCCCTATTAAGGCCACTATAAGTTGGTTCCAACTTGATGACACAGAAAAACAACAGAAAACAACAGAATATTCCAGCTTTTGAGGATAAAATGAATTCCCACTGGTTATTGACAACTGGCCAGAAGCTGTGCATTGCTTAAAAATTAGTCTGATTTTTAAAGAAAAAGAAGACTGCTATCATTTCCCCATTATCTGATACCAAGATGCATAATCATCAGTGTATGTGAGAAATCCTTGTCACCACCAGGTGATTTGAGATACTGACGGCCAAGCTGGAATCAAATTTATGATCCTTTAAAAAGGGTGTGTGCTAATACTTTTCCCATCCCATGCTTCTTATTTACACTTCTTTTTTCCTGTTTTTATGCATTGCTTTTTGACCTGGGTTATTTTTTACCCACCCTCTCTTTCCCATAACCACATGCGTGGCCTTCCTTCACTGCAAAAGAAAACTTTTCCTCTCACAGAGATATCTTACTTTATACAAATGATGACATCTGCGTTTCCCACCAACTCTAAGAAAGCAGCCATTTCCTTTCTGAAACAATGGACCTTTTCCGCTTTTCTGATGATTTCTGCCTTGTGTGCTGGAAAAGCGAACGGGGTTATCAGGCACCTTGGGGAATGTTATGCTAACATAAAAAGGGACTGCTCTTTAGTTCTCCCCTGTTCCTCAGTGACTTGATGGCATACGGTATCTTTTGGCACTTAGCTGGTCTGAATGAGACAGAGCTTGCTTCTTAAATTTCAGCTTTAAGTAGGTGGATGGGTTGATTCAACCTGTGTATTTTTTTCTTCCCTATATTTGCATTTTTCTTTTTTTCTTTATTGCTCTCAAATCTTTAACAATACCTATGAGAGGAGCCAGCTTCTTGCTGTGTCTACCATACCCATGCAGTTTGAATAAGCAAGCAAAATAATGCACACATTTAGAGGTGCAGATATACATCCTACTTTGGTTGTGTGACATATGAAGCATTCCTTAGTCATACAGTATATTTGTTGTATGAAGCAGATACACTACTCTGGATGGCTAAAATAGTATATAAATATTGTCTCTTTATTCAGTTAGCACCATCAGGGCATGTGGTGCATTACATAGTACATAAAAGACAGGTCTGTGCCACAGGGCTCACAATCTTTAGTCAAGCTAAGGGGACTCATTAAAGGATGATGAGAAGTGAAGGCAGTGTACATGGGGGAAGCATAAAGTTAAGTGACAGCACAGTCTGACATAATGAATTTTCAGACAGATGTTTTTTGTTGTCCTCTGTCTCCGAATGAGTCAACCTGCCCTCCATATGGGGCATGGCTGTTGAATAAGTCCTGATGGCTTTGCTAGTAATGTTGGCTTCAGAACTCACCACGTAGGCAGTCTTCTCCACACTGGACAAGAGTTTCAACCTGGCCCATCAGTCGTGGAAATTCAGACTGAGCAATCTTCCTCTTGTGCTGCTTCACAGTCTAAAAAGATAAAGAAGGATAAAGGAGATAAGCCTGTGTCTTGGGAATCTCCACTTGAGAGCCTTCAAACACTACGCTTGGTGTTCAAACTCCCCACCCACCCACTCAGCTAATCCAAAAGAGAACTTTTCTTGTTTGGCACTCAAAAGGATCCAAGTGATATCCAATCAACATCCAAAGTTGAGATCAAGAACGACCCTCCACATGTGAAATGATTCCTTAGTCCTTCAGCTAAGATTTGTGGTAGAGCTCTCTAAGGTATTGACACCTCCCTTGGATGGAAAGGGTCTTTTCCTAGGTTTAGGTTGTCGAGAGATTACTATTACAACAGCCACAACTTGTGACCTGGTTCAAGAGTACCTCTGGGAACCTATGTAGAGAGAGCCACATCAGTGTCAGTATTGTTGTTGACCTGAACCATATCATTCTGAGCATGGAACACCATAAAATTCTTTTACCTATGCTACAAAGCACAGGTCCTGGTTTCTTATTTTCTCTTGGAACGGGCATCCTTGTTGCCATGCCACCAGCACAGGAACAGGTCTCCTTTTTGGGTTCACAGAAATCCTTTCCAGTATGATCTGAAGACAGTAATGATTTCACAACACCCTTGCATGACATTGTCTATCTTACAAAGGAAGCAACTCTTTCCATTAGCTATCCAGCTCCAGTTCACATTCCACCTCTTTATTATCAGGTGCACACACCTGTTGTTGCCTTGATTTCTGTCTTGGTGTCTTTAGTATCTGCTTCCATATGACTTCCTATGAGGCCCCTTGTGTCACCTGCTGCACTGATGACATCCTCTTCTCTGGTCTTGGTTTTCCGTTGTCAAACAGGTTGCTCTTTTGTTGTGTATTGATGATCTCTTGCTGGATTCAAGTGCCGCTGCCCTGAGGTGTGGCCTTTAGTTCTTCATGTGATACTAGTTTGGGGAACTAAACCCCTCACTTGACAACTGCTCCATATGCTCCAGGCTCTTGGCTTGGAAATCAAGCAGCTCCCATCTTGAAGGACTCATTTCCAGCTGGTTCATGCAGATGCTTTGCTTCAGGCCACTAGAATATCATCGACCCAGCTCTCTTCTCTATTCCCTACATGTAAGCAAGTGGAGAATTTACATGGTGTGCAGTGAGGAGGGGACGAGATTTCAATTTTCTCTTCAAGCGTTCAGCTTCAAATTCCATCATTAGGGGAACCACTCTTGAAACTCCTCCTGGCAGGCTTGTTTATTTTAGCTCGGGGCTGAATTGTGGTCTTATGCCTCGAATTGCCCCCCCCCATGTGCCTTGTTCTCCCGCCATAAATGGCTCCCTGCCTGATCGCCTTCTCTGCCATCCTGCCCCTTGCCACCCTGTCCCCTCACTCGCCCTCCCTGCCCGAGCATGCCTGCCTCTTTGGGTAAGGCCCTGGTCACACAAGAGAAATGTTTTCTAGTTCTTCCAATACTTTTTATATGTCTGTTGTACTGAATCGTGGTCACATGGTTTATATCCCAGGACAAACATCCCAAGAACTTTTAGCAGTACCAATTTATTTCCTCCTAATCATTTGTACTAATCCTAATCGTTATGGCTGGCTACACCATGGTACCGGTTTGTTTTCTCTATTGCTCCGCGGGGCAATTTAGCCCCTTGATTTATATATATATATAAATATATATATTATTTTAAAATAATATTTATCAATACATTGATAGATCAGAACCAGTCCAGGGTTGGAGGAGTGAAGAGATGTCTTTGGGCAAATAAAATGGATCAGAGGCACAAATCCTCTAGGATCCATATGGTTTTTAATGTAGGATCATCCCCAAACAATCTCAACCAAAGCAATCTCTGTTGTATTCTGTGGCTCCAAAGGGGAACAGCTGGAGCTTTCTTAAAGGGACAGGAGCCACTAGGCTTTCTTTACTTTATTTACTTTACTTTATTTAGATTTATACCCCACCCCTCTAGACAAAGTCTAAAAGGAGAAACCGCTTAGTCCTCTCTCCCTCCCTCCTTCACCTCATCACAGCAGTTGGGGCGAGTGGCCAGCATGAGGGCAGAGCAGGCAAGCCTCAAATGAAATGATTTTAGAAGCCTTTATAGCCCCTCTACAAGACATCTTAAAAGGTATAAAAAGTTTTCCCAAGAGGAGCCATGTAAAAATGCAATGCCGCCTTAATGGCTACCGCAAGGAGACACAGCCAGTGACTCATGTACCATGTGACTGTCACATGACTTTCAAATCTCAGCAAAAAACTCCTATGCATATGGTGGGGTTAATCAAGAGTGTAAATAAGCCCTCAGTCAATCAGCCCAGTGCAGTAGCACTCCACCTGGATCTTTCCGAAGTCCCCGGACTGTCACTCCAAATGATGCAGAGAAATGTGTGCTTAGGCTTTTGCTTGTTTTTACCAGTTTAGTTCCTCCTATGAGAATTGTTATGGCTGGCTACACAATGGTACCCGGTTTATTTGTTCTCTTGCCTCAAGGGACACTTTAGCCCCATGATTTATAGGTACATATATATTTTAAAAATAATATTTATCAATACATTGATATATCAGAAACAAGTCTCCCTCTAAGGTGCGCAACTGCGTGGGTGTGCTTGACTCTGCCTCCTTCCCCACAGATTTCCCCCTTCCCTGTGCATCCACAGCTATCATTTCCAGCCCCTTCCATTGTGGTCACAATGGAACCTCACACAAGGGTGTGGACTCTCACATGGGGGGAGTGGAAATTAGAGGAAACATTGATTGGGAAGGGGTTCCTGTTTAGGAAAGTGTCCCTCTGTTGCACTGGCTGCTCCTGCAGAAATGCATTGCGCACAATGGGCTTGGGATAGCCATGTGGCAGTACGGTCTATCACACACACACCCCGGTGACATTGGCATACCAATGTTTCAATGTATCTTCCCATAGAAATTTTAAATAAATGATTACTCACCAGTAATTAAATGTCAGAGCCCCCCCCCATGACACACTTTTACCAGTGTATCAATGTATCGGGTACAATTAAAAATAATAACAATGTGCCTGCTGTGGTAATGGCAGCCACCTTTCAGGCTTTGACTCTGAAAAGAAATGGGGCAGGGCATGCACACAGGCAATCCCAGTAAGGAACACGCCGGTACAATAAGGTACAAAATAGCACAACCCTCCTGGTGATGGACAAATGTTCTGTATTGGAACCGCCTTCCAATACGGATTAAGTTCTCACTGGCCAGGACATCAAGGGACAATTGCCCTCACATGTCTAGGTTTAAATACTGGGATGATAAAGTCAACACAGTTGAGATCAACAGGGGGAAAAACACACAGCGACGCCCTGGAATGACGAGAAACAATGAGAATGATCTCTGAGATGTAGAATGGCAACTTCCATAGGCAACTGTTGTACTAAAACACTTGCCTAAAGTGTGTGTGTGTGGTGGGGAGGGAGAGAGGGAGGGAGTGCAGATTCTCCACTAGTTTTTGTGAAGAAGGTAACATGGAACCTTCCCATGAACCATAACTCTACAATGTCTAGAGACACCATATCACTTGAACACATTCACACCATGCAGAGACAGTTTCTCAAGATCATTCAACATCCAAACACTTCTAATTTTCAAATGTAGTAAGGTAACTTAGGCCTGAATTAGGGCTGGCAACAACCAACATCCTTGGGCAGATTTGGAGGTCCAAGAACCCCAGCAGGGCCCATCACAGATGCCATCTCAACTCTTTTCTGTCAGGGAACTGGGTCTGGGAAGATACCTGTTTGTGTATTTATTTGCAACCATCTAATGCCAAAAGATTTAAAGTTAAAAGTGATTGTGAAAAATAAACCCATGATATTAAAGTGGCACAATAACAACACCACAAAAACAGAACAAAATCAGCACCCAAAAGATATCATGTATTAGGAGATTTTCCTAATCTTCCAAGGGATCTGAAAAGCACCACAAGGTCTCAGGATTGAAAAGTCATTAAAATAAAAAGTTATTCGCCTCTTTCTGAACCCCCCACCCCCAATTTGTGCCCTGTTAACTGTTACTGGGGAGGGCATGTCACACCCCAGAAAAAAAGACCTCTCCCCAGCTCTTATCAAGCTCACTGCATTTGTGGGAATGCCCAGAAAGAGACAATATTAAAATCAGGGTAGGACTTTGTAGAGGGTTAGCCCCAAGCTACGTCCTGCTTTAAAAATGAATACCCACCACTGAATGGTGACTGCAAATGGACTGAAGGCCAGCACAGATGGCAAAACAATTAGCATAATTTAATCTTAATGGGCAATCATTTGTGCTGCCCTGTTTTGCCCCAGTGGAAATTTCCAGATCATTTTCAAAGGTAATGCCATCATAGGTTTCATGTTGTGGCCAACCTCTTTTTGTAAACAGTTGTACTCCCCCGATTTAACACGTTAGAAGTACTCCTGGATCTGGGATTATCATTAAACTGTCAAGAAAACCTCTGACACACCATGTTTTTACCAGCTTTGTTTCATTTGTCATCTGTGACCACTTCCAAACAGGCATAGTTTGACCATAATGATCCACATTCCTGTTGAGCTGCTGTAACATATCGCATGTGCGGGTTGCCTTTAAAGATAGCTCAGAAATGTCACTTACTACAGAACAGGATTGCCTGAATGATGATTGTTGCAGCCTAAAACAGTTATATTGCAACAGTTGTAAAACAGATTGACTGGCCGCCTGTTTACTTCTGGGCCCATTTTTGTGTATTTTAAATGCCTTAGGGTCATGAGGCTCAGATGTCTGATGGGGCTGCTATCCACTTATCACACACCCACCCTGCCACCCATGGTGTGTAAAATCATATGGCAAGGTGCTACTCCATGTACCTTTCCCATCCGAGGTATGATGGTAAGGAAGAGGAACTTTCTCACAGTGGCACCCTGGCTGCGGAATGCACTCTTCAAAAAGGTTCATCTAATGTCAACACTGTTATCTCTTCAGCACCTAGCAAAAATATTTTTTACGAATGATGCCCTTTAACAAATTTTAATTGATCTGAGTACACCCTGATCTATTTTTACATTGTATTTAATGCTTTTACTTTCGTGTTTCATTCTGTGATTTTATATTAAGGGTGGTTCTACACAGAGAAGGCCTCAAATCGAAACCTGAGCCTCCCCAGCTAAGATGGGGAGGCCCTTCGAGTGCTGGGGCTGCTGGGAATACACAGCCTTGATCTGGAAGGACTAATTGCTTGTCATATACACTTTGTCTCTTTATGGCACCCTTTATTATAATTATTCTTTCCCAGCCAAGCCATGTTCTTTATTCCACACAAGAAAATTTTATTACCATAGCTGCCAAAGGTAGTGCTTTTATAGCAATAGCCAGTGGGAAACACTGTTGGAGAGTGTTGGATTATGACTTGGGAGACTGGGGTTCAAATCCCCACCCAGCTACTGTATGAACCTAAATAGGTACCTTTAGGCTGATCACATTCTCATAGCCTGATCTCGCAGAGTTGTTGTGAAGATGAAGTGGGAAGGCAGAGAGCCACGTGTGCCGCTTTGAGCTCACTGGAGAACAAGTGGGATATCAAGCTAATAAAACAAATGAGCATATAGCCCCAAAGGTACTGAGCACTCTTCTAGCCAAGTTGTGGAGTTGCACCTCATTACTTGGTCCTTAAAATGCATCTCTTCTGGGCTTTGGGTTTAGTTGGTTAGGAATGTTGGAGGAGCAGTCATTTCAGTCTGCTGTGACAGTTAACAGAACCAAACAAACAAACCCCAAAACAAACAAAAAAACAACAACCCAGCAACCAGGCAATCTATTCATACCTTAAAGATGAACACATTTTATTTCAGCATAAACGTTCATTAATGGAAACAGTCTTCTTCATCAACTAATAAATACCGTATTTTTCGCACCATAAGATGCACTTTCCCCCCACAAAACAGGGGGGTGGAAAGTCTGTGCGTCTTATGGAGCGAAGAAAACAGATTATATTTTCCTGTTTTCTTCTCCTAAAAAATTGGTGCGTCTTATGGAAAGGTGCGTCTTATGGAGTGAAAAATACGGGTATATGCTTCAGTGTGGGAGGGCTTTTAATCCCCTTTAACTCCCATCCACCCAGAGACCCACAGCCATGTATATGTACACGTGTACACGTACCTCTCTATATTTTTGGGCAAAAGGCAAAGTACCAGAAAACCAGAATGGCCAGAAGTCCAGTCAATCTCATAAGAGATCTTCTCCTGAATGGACCATCCTAAGTGCCTTGATCATCCGATGGTACCCTTTCTCCCAAATTTAGTTTCTCATCACAAGAGACAGAACAATTTCATATGTGGCATCCACACTAAAAAGCTTCAAGATTTGGTACCCCAACCCCACCCCCATTTTTAATTTTTTTAACATTTAGACTCAGTATGTCTTATGAGGATTTGCTGTTGTTACAGTGTTGTATCTGATAGTGATTTTCTTTTCTGTTTTAATCCACTACATTGCTTTTATGCTAGCTAGGCTTAATGTACTACCTTCTAAGCTTCTGGAGGGAAGATTTCGAGGTTTGCCTACATCAGATTGTCTCTGCCCTTGTAATAGTGATAAAGTTCAATCAGTTGGTCATGTTCTCCTTTTCTGTACTTGCTATCGGGATCTATGTATGGAGCTTTTACTACCTATCATCTGTAAATCTCCCGAGAGATCAGAGGAGGATTATGTACAGATGCTACTTTCTGACAATACTCCTTATATTATGAGACAAGTGGCCAAATTTTGTGCTGCAGCAATGGTTATACGTGTACAGATGTTTCGGTAGGTGATTTTAGTTGGATAATATAATGCTTTTAATATAACACTGGCTGAGGTTTTAAAGTAAGGATTTACGATGTTATTAACTGGAAAGGGGGGGTTGTGTTATCATGTTTTAATGGAAATTCTATAATTCTGCCTGATTTTACGAAACTACATGTATGTATTTTATATTCATTATAGAGTATTTGACCGTAATAAAGTATTCATTCATTGTCGTGACTTGATTCTGATGATTCTACTTCTAAATTCAATATTTTAATTCTCCACGCAAAGAGATATAAATGATAAAATCAATGCATAATTCATATACAAAATGTATACAATCTGGCCAGTGTTAAGCGCTTTGAAGTTCTATTGATTTAAATGGGAGAAATTTAAATTACATGTGCAGTTCTCCTACTCAAACTGAACAAAAAGTGTTTGACTGCAAGCTGGAGCATGCCGGCTATGCATATTTTAAAATCCGCTTGATTGAGTGCTGTACAAATAGTGGGGGAAAACCTCTATCCAGGGTGGTTTATAATATGAAAACTCCTCTGCCACAAGTTTGTGATTTATCTATGCAAGATAAAAAAAGCTAGGTGATATTACAAATAGCGGAAACATGCTTTCTGGAACATGGGACCCCGTCCAGTTTTCTGCAGGATTCAGCATTCAAAAAAGATGATCTTACCTTCCTCAGCAGTGGGAATCCAAACTATAATTCTGCAACTGGGCTGAGGTATAGATCGCTGCATAAGCAGAACTTGGAAAAGTTTCTTTTTTGGATGACTCTATGCTAACTGGTGGAGTCTGAAAGCTGTAGTCCCAAAAAGTTACTTTGCCAAGTCCTGGCCATAAACTGATGTGAGAATGACCGAGGGCACCGTGGAAAAAATGGGTGTGCCTCCTACTTCTGGGAAAGAAGAAACTACCGACTATCTCTCTGCATGTTTTACAGCACTCGTTTCTCCCCTAGCCTGCTTTTGTCAGTTAAGGGGAAATTCTGGCACATCTTTGCCCTTGGTATGGTTGGATCATTAAATTACTCCTGACACAGAGATGAAACAAAGTTAGCCACCTTCAGAGAGATGGCCTGTTGCATTTCTGCTTGAGTCACCAATTTTGCCTCTTTCCAAGTTGAGAGGGGATGTAGAATAGTTACTCCTGCAGAGGGGCCCCCTTGAGGACAGAGCATCCTTACTTTGACCTACAAAAGGAAATCTCTTTGAGTATCACCAGTCCATCGCCATTAAAAAAATCACCTTAAATATATGAATATACACTGCATTAAAGGAGAAAGTGGATGATATTCAGACAGATACCTGGGAGTTCAGTTTGGTTAACTAAAAACCACACTTGGTATGCCAAAGCACCTGGAAGGACTCCCCGGTGCACTGAAAGCAGTGGCTCAGGAGAAACTTTTAAGTGTCCACTCCACTATTAATTTGCATGCTGTAACTCCCTAGTATTGTTTCAACGTCAGGTTCATTGCCTGAAATGCCACCTTTTACCTCCCATATGCTAGGAAACCACATCACATGTCTTCACAGGCTATAGGCAGTTTATGAAGTATTCCCTGACGTTCCAGCCGCTTACCTTTCTTCCACGGAGCACTGATTGTGAACGATTGGTGCCAGCTGAACATTCTGGACAGGCTAAACATTTGTCTCATGGAAGAGCAGGTCCATCAATTAAAATCCTTCAGGGACATGCAGGAAAGCCATAGGAGTCATGCTGCCAGAGGGATGACTGCAGTTTCCTCAGGCTGAAGTGCAAAGAACACGAGCGCATAACAAGACTTGCTTTGTTTTCTTAGCCCAGCTCCAAAGCAATGGGGTAAAGTACCTTTGCTCAGGAACAAGAGTCTTACTCCAGTTGCTGCTGCCAGAGGTCTGCTCTTCCGAAGGCTGCAGGACTGCAAGTAGGCAAGCAGCCAGCTGTGACTTTAAAAGGGAGCAGCCCTGTGGAATGCATCTCCCATAGTTGATAAGTCCAGAGATGACTGGAGGGCTTTGGACTGCCTTAACTACCAAAGTGCCCTCCTGAGAAAGGGAGATACGAATGCGCTTGCATAATATCGGGTTCTGTTTTTTGTTTTCAGATCTCAGTAAGATTTGCAAAAGGGAGGAAGCAGGGTGGAATGTGCCTCCCCCTCCCCTCTTCTTTCCTGTTTTCCTGTTTCTGGTTCCTGCTTTTGCTATATGGTCCTGCTGAGCTGGGACATGATAGGGGGCATTCAGAGGATCCCCAAGACCGAAAGCTACAGTAGGAACCTGCCACGTATGCACCATAGCTCTGTGCATGTGTATTGCAGCTTAAATTAGATACATCTTCAAGAAGAAGAAGAAGAAGAAGAAGACTCCAGGATGTCTTTTATCAAATAGATGAAATAAAATATCAAATGGCAAGAACACATATAGGAACAAGATTCCTTTTTCTGTCTGCGCTTAATAGCAGGAAGGAACTGCAGCAGACATCCCATCCAGACTCTTTTCCTCTGCATCCACATCTGGGCCAGGACAGAAGGAAGTGGTGGGAATATAGGGGTGGGGGCAGGAGATATCAAGGATAAAAGGGGCATATTGCCAATGCTGCCTCCCCCCTTCTTGCCCCAGCATATGAGATCCTGGGCTATGGAAGTCTGTTCAGAAGTACAGTATGCCTCCCAGCAGCAACCACTCATTTCTTGCTGCCGGGAGGCTGGGTTTAAAAGTTACATTCTGTGAATCTGCAATTTCCCAGCAGTTATAAGGACTAGAAATTACAGAGGGCAGAAATGGTGAGGTGTACACACACATATGTACACAAGACATTTGCCAGTTCTGATACTTAACCCCCTCCCCCTGCACAATCTTATATTGCATCAGTCTTTTTATTAATCAGGACTGTATCCATTTTAAGAATCGTTTTACATTTACATTTACTTTTAAAATCTGGAAGCAGTTTTTAATATAAAGAGATTTATAAAATCAAAAGTTAAAAAGAGTACAATGATGAAACAGAAAAATCTACTGTGAAAGCATTGTTATAGACCAGGGCTAATTGGCAGTGTTAACCATCAGATAAATAATCAGGAAAATGCCTGGCCAAACATATAGGTCTTCATTTTACGGCAGAAAGAGTCAACACTAGAGGCCTGCCAGATTCTACACACAGAGAATCAGCAAGGACCATACAAGTTACCCACCTGCAAATTCCGATTTGAAATCAGATCATGACTGGAGTGGATCAATCTGGTGTGAAATAACCAAAATCAGTTCAGCAGGATAAACAAAAATGCAAAAAAGCTGGACAGTGTGTTTTCAACAACAGGATCATATAATGAAAACACCAAGGTAGGAATGGGGCTATCTAGTGTGGTGTAGTAGTCCATCAGAGCAATGGACTAGGACTCAGGAGGCCTGGGTTCAAAGCTGCACTCAGCTATGGAAGATCACTGGAGGTGCAGAACTGGTAAAACTACCCCTTAAACATCTCACTTACCTTGAAAGCCCTATTAGGGTAGCAAAAATTCGCTTCCAACTTGCTAGCACATAACAACAAACAACTTTACTAGGCTCACTAAGATGGCACAGATACATTCAAGTTCTCTAGAACTCTCCATCAGGCTGGGCAGTTCAAAAGTCTGGCGACTGGGGAACAAACAAAAAGACCAACAGTCTAGCCAAGTCCATTCTAAGTTGACAGCACAGAACAACAACAGCAAGGGGTAGGGCAGTGGAGGGAGGAGAGAGGGACTTTGTTCATTGGCAGCTTTGCATTCGCATCTAGGGCAAGAAAATAGCTTCTTGTCTGTTGTAATGTGCATTCCATAGGAAGAGTAAATTCAGAGGAGGTAATTGAGTCGAGCACTTATCTGTGATTAATGGATGGGTTTCAGTTAGTTCAACTTAATCATGCAGACAAATTACTTGAAGGAGTAAAGCCAACCATTTGTTTTTACACCCAAATCCATCCTGGATGATAATTACTAGAGGAAGGCTGGGCAATTGAGCCAGTCAACGACTCTTTAAAAAGGACTGTTTTCAGATTCCTCCTTTGGAAAAATCAGTTCATGTGTTCACGTTTTTGATGACAACTTCCAGAATCCCCCATCTGATTCTAGGAGTTTTAGGCCAAAAAAGAGTAGTTTTTCCACCTTTGTTTACATTCTTGACTGTACTTCTTTTTCCAATGATTATAGATCACATAGCCAATTCACTTAGAATATGTTTAGAAGCTCTACTCCCTCGAGAGGTGAAAGGTGGTCATTTTTCATAGCACCTGCTTTTCCTCACTACCTTATTTTGCATCCCAACATACCTTGTTTTGTGATTGGTCAGTGGAAGGTGAAGATAGACTTAATTTTCAAGTCTGAAGTAGATAACTTTGAGGAAACAGTGCTGTAAGAAGCAAAACAAGCTAATTTCAGAGATTACACATTTCCCAACAGTGCTGTAAGAAGCAAAACAAGCTACGTAATTTCAGAGATTACACATTTCTTCTATCTTCTAGTCTGACCCAGAAATGCTTCCATTTTTCTTCTCCTTTGAACAAGACCTCTTTTTTTTTCCCTAAAGAAAGTTTATAGCTTCCTTGACTCTGGTTATTGAGCATGATCTTGTCTCTTTGGACTTGGTGTTACATTTCCTGATCTGTGGAAAGCATTCTAAATGAGTTTCTAATTTTTATGTTGAAAGATGCACTAGCTTCAGATAACTGCTGGCTTTGTGTATTCTCCACCAAACTTTAGTTCAGTTAAAACCTTTCAGAAGTCTAGTGTCCTGCAAGGAAATTATTTTGGATGTGCTTTTGAGCACGGGTGAAAAAATATTAGTTAAATGTCTTGCATTCTAAACGTGCCCAAGGCTATAACAATGTCACAAATATTATGTGTCTGCTACTTTAGCCCAAGGAGCTTTAATTAATAGGATTTGGTTGTGACCCTCTGCACATACACTTGAGAACAGGAAAGTGAATATTTTGGTTCAGTTCATCATTTATTAGACTTTACCAGATTCACAGATTCCTTTATACTGAGGAAGGAAAGATGCAGGAGAAACCAAAGTGGACCAAAATTGCCCACTAGGGCTTTGTGTGCTCAACCCTTGAAAGCCTGGATTTGAATCCCATTTTATTTGACCATATTGGTACTGAAGTTATGGTTGCCAAGTCCTTTTTATCGGAGAGGCTTTTCATCTTTTGTGTTTGTATGACAGGCATTTATGACATGGCCTTCTCCATGCAGCAGACAGCCACAGATACAACCTTTTGCAGAATGTTCTGAGAACATCTACACTGAGTTGTGGAGAGAATTGACCCATTTGTATGAAGATTCTAAGGGTAATAATAACTGGGCTAATATGATATGTATTTAATTTTCAACAGGTACAAGACAGCTGCATCCACGTCTTGCTTTTTTGTTTGATGTTGTTCTTCGACCCCTGATATGTGCTGATCAATGAGATTTTAAAAATTCAAACGAATCCTTATTCCCAGCAAAGTCTCCAATACAGTAAGACCCCCCGTATCTGCGGGGGATTGGTATATAAAGCATGGTAAAATGGTGGGGGCGAGGAAGGAAAAATTATTTTCATATTCATTACCAAAACTGGCCACTAGAAGGCACCAGAGAATACTAGCAAGTATTCATAGCATGGTCTCTGGCTCCCTCTAGTGACTGGTTCTTGTAATACATAGGAAAATAGTTTTTTTCTGGATATTTTTCTTTTAATATTTTTAGTATTTTCACACTGTGGATAAGTGAAACCATGGGTACTGATCCTGAGGATATGGGGGTTGTACTATACTTCACTATACCCAAATGATATGTATATCTTTTTAGATAAGCCACACTAGGGGATTGGATTTTTAAAAAATCTGAATAGACATTCATTGGGACAAATTCCAGATTATGGGGCAGACTGGCTATTCCAGGGGGCAATGCTAGTAACACACTTTAAGTACCTCAGAATTCTAATGTTTGAAAATGTATGTTATACAAGAGCGCTGAATCTTACCATACTGTGAAAAAGTATTGCAGGAGACTTAGAATAAAGGAATAGATTTAAAACTTTGTTTATTTAAAACAGTCCTTAAAACATCCCCTGAGGTCTGTTGGTACACATTCCCCAGAAATTATTTGTACTGCATGCCTATTTTTTTGCATCTGTTCTTTGTATAGATGCTTTGTATGGGGAGATGGTCCACAGTTTCTGATGACATGTAATAAATTATAGCAAAAGGGACAAATTTGGTAACTTTAACTGCAAAACAACCATAACATCTCCCATAGCTGCTGAAGCATGGTATTGTTCTGAAAAGAAATTGGGCACAGAATGCTATGAACGGGCAGAATTAGAAAAACAAGAAAACAGCAGCATTAAGGAAGAGAAGGCCTTGGATTGTAACTATCTGCCTAAGCCTCATCTCTATACAAGTGGTGCCTCGCATAACGATTGCTCCGTTTAGCAATGAAATCGCTTTGCGAAGGACTTTTTTCCATCGCAAGAGTGATCGTTTTGCGATGGCCCCTATGGGGAAAATTTGCATTGCGATGATCGCGGGGGAGCAAAGGCCCCGCTGGTCAGCTATTTAAAAAAATGGGCTTTGCGCTGCTCGCGGGGAAGCGCTTCCCTGGGAGCAGCCCAAAGGCTCGCCTTTTGGAAGAGGTGATGGGAAGGCCTTTGGGCTGCTCGCATGGAAGCGCTTCTCGGGAGCAGCCCAAAAGCCCGCCCCTCGGGCTGTTCCAAAAGGAGAGCTTTTGGGCTGCTCGCAGGGAAGCGCTTCTCCGGGAGCAGCCCAAAAGCCCGCCCCTCGGGCTGTTCCAAAAGGCGAGCTTTTGGGCTGCGCGCAGGGAAGCGCCTCTCCAGGAGCAGGCCACAACCCCGCCCCTCGGGCTGTTCCAAAAGGTGAGCTTTTGGACTGTGCGCAGGAAAGCGCCTCTCAAAAGCCCGCCCCTCGGGCTGTTCCAAAAGGCGAGCTTTTGGGCTGCGCGCAGGGAAGCGCC